AAAGTATAACATTGAAAGTGAAAAATATAATATTTTTGAAAGTGTAAAGTGTAACATTGAAAGTGTAAAATGTAAAGTATTATCTTATGTCTCACATTTCTTAATGAAAAGTGTAAAATGTTATAGAGTAATATTGAAAGTAACAATAACAGTGTAGCAATAATAATGTAACAAGCTATTTACACAATGTAAGGGGAGACATTACTTAAAGTATTACACAAACATAATATACATGTCTCATCTTCATTAAAAATGCTAATTAATTGAGAAAGTATGAATGGGTTACACTTTCAATGTTAACATGTAACATTTTACACTTTTCATTAACTAAGGTGAGACATAAGATAATATTTTACACTTTCAATGTTACACTTTACACATATATACATACTTCTATATATATATATATACACACACAAGTATGTATGTAGATATAAATATAAATATATATATACACACAAGTATAAATATAAATATATATACGTATATATACATATTTATATAGACCTGTTTATACATATTTATATATACTTATTTGTATATATATATTAACAAATACACATAAATCAATGTGCATTAAATATTAAAGTTTTTCCAAAAAATTAGGAGATATTTAATGTACCACTTTTCCTAAAATGGGCATTTATGTCTTTGTATCTAACTAGTGTACCTTTTTTTAAAATATTTTTTAATATATATTTTTTGTCAAATAAGTTTAATTAGGTGTACCGACTTAAAAAAACCCCTTTTTAAATTTTGAGTGGACTAGCCTTTTTGTTTTGGGTGGATCTAATATTTTAATTTTTTATTGAAAAATGTTATTTGTCCTTAATGCAACTAAATTAAGGCATTACCTACTATCTTTTGTAGTTGTTCTGATTTCAAAAACGGTTGTAATCAAATTCAGTTTTAGGTGGACACAACTTAGACATTACACATACCTATATATGTAATAATTTTTTTTGGGAAAATTTGGAGGCCGGTCCACTTATATAGATTTATTTGAATTTAAGTTTGCCAAGAAAACTAATTTGTTATGAAGTTCATTTTTTGTCAATTTTACCAAACTTTTTCTTCCCTTTAGAAGTGAAGTAAAACTAAAAAATAAAAACTCATAAATTTTAGGAGTTTGACTAACATTAAAATTTTTTCTCTCTCATATCTATCTATATTCATATATAGTTTAGGACTATATATATAAAGAAAGAGAGAGAGAGAGAGAGAGAGAGAGAGAGTAACATTAAAAATAAAAATAGTAACATTCAAATACAAAAACAAGTAATGAGACAGACAAATTTTTTTTATCACACATTGTTGAGGATTCGAGAAGTAAAAATGTGGACACTAGTGCACGTTCTTCAATAACACTCGAATGCGGTGTTGTCTCTTTTTGTTTCTTAAACAAAAAAAATGCAAGTAGGCAAAACCTAAAATTGAGGATTCAAACAATATGTATTTGTCGTCAGGGAGAGGCTTTAGTCATTGTTCACCCCCATAGATTTCAAGCCTCTTGAACCTCGTCTTCATGGCAAAAAGAAGACAAATTTGAACGACTTTAGGAGGTGGCCATCCTCTCTTCTATGGGGGAAGGGGCTGGTGTCTTCAGTAGTGTTGTTCACACAGTGTTGGAACCAGGGTTACTTGGATCGCGGGTCGATTGGGTACGTGGTACGGGTACAAGTGCGGGGTACGTTATTTTTTGCGGTACGTGGTGCGGTGAAGGTAGGCTTAGTTGGTACGCTATTTTGGGTCGCGATTCACTTTGAACTATTATTCGAATCGTTTTCATTATTTCAAAGAATTATATAAATATGTACATTATAAAATGAAAATCAAGACCAACAACAACACATCAACTAATAATCATGTATAAAAAAGTAATGATTGCATATTTTATTATCAATAAAAGACAACATATAAATTTAAAAACTTAAAATTTAAAAAATAATGTATTAGAGAGTGATTAAATAGCTTCCTACTTGAAGCACAAATTAAAATAACATTCTTAAACGTTTAACAAGTCTCAAATAAAAATTACTTAATAATAATAAAAAAATATAAAACACATGAGTTAATTGTCAACTCTTTTCTCTTTATCTTTCGCAGTGTTTTCTCCTCTTGCATAATTACTAATTTGAGTCTGATGTAGTCCAGAATGACAAAACGATGGTCTGCTAGAACTAGTAGGTGGCTTGTCAATAGAGACGGACATTGAAGCATGTAAGGATGAAGCTTCCTGATCTCTGTCTCCAGCAATGGTAGAACTATTTGTATTGTCATCCTCCAAAGATTTTCATCGCAAATTCTCCAATCTCACGCTAGAATCATCTATATATGTGTGCTTTGGATTTGTATCTCATTTCTTAAAAAGGACATCTTTGTAACTTTCACTGAAACGTGATTGAAGATGAATATTTGAATGGATGAAAACCAATTTGTCAGCCCTGGTAGAATTCAATCTGTTTCTCTTGACATTGTGAATAAATGAATACATGCTCCAATTTCTTTCAGCTGAAGAACTTGTAATTGGTTGTGATAACACCTTTTATGAAAAAAATAATAAGACACATTAATAATGATAATTAACAATAAAAATAAATAAGTTGTAATTTAAATTAGTACTTTTTTTGCCACTTCTGCTAATTCTGGAGTTTTTGAACCATATGTCGACCACCAATCAATAGCATCCATGGTCATAGCATCTGTTTGAGCCGCCGCCATAGCATAAAGACCCTTTCACAAGTGAAAATGTGCATACTGTTCTTTCAATTGTTTTGCTTCTTCTACATCTTCTGTTATCTTTTCAAAAGCTTCCATAACACCTATGATGACCTCTCTATCTTAATTTGGAGTTTTTCTAACTGTACCTCCCGGTGCTAGCTTAGTAAGATATTGAGTATCATAAAATCATGGTGTTAGTGCAAACCCAAGACAATGCAAAGGAATATTCATCTTCTCCCATCTGTCAAGCACAATTTTTTCAATCTAGGAAAATTTATCAACGTGTTTTCCACCCCTCATAATATCTTTTATTTCACCAAGCATGTTGTCCATCTTCTCATAAATCTCATCCATTTTTTGACCTTCACCATCACAAAATTTAATAAGAAAAAATATAGGTTTTGTGATACTTATGATATTCTCCACATCCTCCCAAAATTCTTCACTAATAACAGTTTCTGTAACCAAAGCACCTAACTTTCTTATGTGTTCATTCCCAGATTTCACCAATTTTTTCCATGACTTGAGAACAATGGTAGTTGCAAGGAACTCTCTAAAGTCAACAAGTCACTTCAACAAAATATAATGCGATGCAAACCTGCTCTTAGCTACTTTTAATAGCTCCAATTTAGATTGAGCTCTCTAAACATAGCCAAAGCATGTGTATGGTTCAAGAAATATTTAACAATAGACTTTCCCCTTCTATAAGTATTTCTAAACCACTCAAATTCCTTTGCAAAATCTTTAAAACTTAGATTCAGAGTGTGAACAACACAAGGAGACCAAAATATATGTTTGTGTACCTTTTGCACCTCTTTTCCCGCAAGTTTGCAATTTGCTGCGTTTTCGGTCACTACTTGAATGATATTTAGTGGACTTACTTCTTTAATGGCTTTCAACAAATAATCAACAATTGTTTTACCTGTTTTCTCTATCCCTGAAAAATCCTCAGCATATAAAAACATAGCTTCACGACTATTTGCAGCAATAATATTAATAAGTAGTTGATGTTTCACATCAGTCCACCCATATGATACAATGGATATCCCATTAGAATATCATGTATCTTTAACAGGAATCAAATCTTTTTTAACACTTCTTTTGCACTCATCCAATAATGTAGTTCTCGCTTTTTTATAGCTGAGAGCCTTGTAACCTTTAGGTCATCTATTTATAGCTGAAATCATCTCATTGAATTGAGGATTTCTCAACACATTGAATGGAATTCCATTAGCACATAATCCCCTCATGACCTTCAAGTCAACCATGTCTCGATCCATTATTTTGCATGCATCTTCAATTGATCCCGTTGTCAGTGAAGGTTGCCGCTTCATCAATGTAACATTTTTCAGGGATGAAGAAACTCTTATTTTTTTCTACCTTTTGTACTCTTTCTCGTAATTTTGCATATTTAGTCAAATTATTCATCAAAGCTTGACACCATTTAATTTCTGTTTTTTCCTGAGTGGGGCACCAAAAAGGTGGTAATGCATTCGAGTATAGGAACTTGTAAATTTACCACCGCAATGCTTACATGACCAACTCTTTGATCCCCCTGGATTTTTTTCTTGAGCTTCACCAATAAGAATGACTTCATTGAGTAGTGGTTTCAATTTTGCATCCACTTGTAATTGATCTTCCTGTGTGCGATTTTTTTGTGGTTGTCTAGTGGTATCTTCTTCCGTTACTTCAATATGTTCAACTTCTTGTTCATCAACAGAATCATCTAAATTCTGAATTGTTCCTCAACTTGTGAAGAGTCTTGTTCTTCCCTTATTCTTTTTCCAAAAATTATTTTTTTAAGTAACAAAAATTCAATACAGTAGTAGAGAAATATTGAATCAACAATGAGACAGAAAGAGAGAGAAAAAAGGCAAAGAGGCAGTACTATTTAGGGTAAAAATCAGGGAGAAAATATATATATACATGCCGCAGTTGCTAATTGCGTACAACAGGGTGTAGTTGTACAATAAAGCAACTGCTAGGGTAGATTTATTAGTATTTTTACGTTTTTATCCAAAGTGTATGGCAATATGTATAGTAAAATAAATGGGGTTTTTCGCCTTTTTACCAAAAAAATACTGAACACGTTTTTACCTTATTTGTATCTCAGTCGATTCCTCAGTCATACGGTTCCTCTTTTCTTTTCAATTAATATTAATAATATATATACAGAAGAGAGAGAAAGAAACAGAGAGAGAGAAAGACACGGGAAGAACAATCGAAGTCCACAGAGAGAGACAGAAGGAGATCGATCAATCGAACTTCATCCATCGCAGATCAAGGCAGACGATCGCAATCGATTGCTGACTGTCCATCGGGTATGTAACCTAATCTTCATTCTTCACTCGGTTTGGCCTATTATATCTTAATCTGTGCAATTTCTAATATTTACAATGATTTGGTTTGATATGGGTTTAGGGCTTGTATTAGGGATTTGAGTCTGAGATTGAGATTTGATTTAGTGATTGGTTTGATGGGGTCGGAGATTTGAACGATCCAGGTCGCGAATGACTCACGTTTGGGGTCGTGCGACCCAGATCGGGGAGTCTCACATTTTCATGTAACCCTGGTTGGAATAATGACCAAATAAAGTTGGACTATTGTTTCTGAAGCTTAAAATCCACAGCTTGAGAAGATTTTAAGCTTGAAAAAACTCATCAAAACATTAATAGATGACAAATTGATCAACAAATGTGCTAAGAAAGAGAAGAAGAAAAAAAAAGAGTTAGAGAAGGAGAAGGAGGACTCGGACCCCGACTCGGATTCCAGCGAGCTAGATTGATGAGTTTGTTTATTAAGTTCTCTTTTTCTTTTTGACCTGAACTGAGTTCTCTTGACTATTTCACATTTGGCGGTATTTAATTGGCAGACCAACTGTAAATAGGTAAACAAATATCTTAATCATATTTGTTGTCAGTGAAAGATATGTTATGAATGATAGAACAACACTTGTAAACTATATTAGTAGAGACTCCACCGATAAAAATCGAACAAAATCAGGTGCCACAATCATTGTACAGAACGTCACATACGCATGCGCAATAAAAAAGTAACGTTATGCACGTTATTATGTTTATATTGTAAATCTAATTATTTTTGCAGAGATATTTTAAAATATTAAATATTAATCTGTATTGGTCTTTTTGCTTGTTGCATTTGAATGCGCATTCCCAACCGTAGAAACACGTGTAATTTTTTTTTTCCAAACTTTCAACTTAATTTTGAGATAGTTAAAGACCAATTCATGAAATTTTTATGAAAGACGCTTTTTAAGCTCTTGAAGCCTGGTTTCCAATGCCACAAAGATCAGGTCAATCAAACATTGGAGTATAAAGTTATGACTAAAATACTATGAATTAAAACATAATAAAAAAAAATTCACATTCAAAGTTGGATTATCAATCAAAATACTATTTAATTAAGAAGTTTAATTGCATATAACTCTTACAAATAGATGCATACTTTGTTACACACATGGTACCCATGTACAAAATCGATAAAAAAAAAACGTGAAAGAAAAAAGAGATTGAAATAAATAAATATATATGATTAACTATGCTTAAATAAAAAATTGAAGTAGTTAAATATGCTTACTATAACACGAGAGTCAAATATAATGGAAAATGAAATTCTGAGTGATTATTATATAATTCTAAAATATAATTATTATTTTAACACTACTTTAATATTTTGATTATATCGTTTTCACTTCGATGTCCAATTGACTTAATCTTTGCGGCATTAAAAGTAGACTTCAAGAACATCACAAGTGTAACTATTTTATGAATCGATTTCTATTTAAGTCAAAATTGTGTTAGAAGTTTGGGTAAAAACTTACTCACGTCAAGATAGTTGGAAACGCGTGTTCGAACGCAACAAATAGAAACACCTACGAAAAGTAGTACATCCAAACTACTCAAAACATGCATCTAAATACAATGGGTGGATTGGCTAAGCGTTTTTGACTTTGTTTAGTTTTCTTAATTTCCTAATCTTTATGAAAGTTCTTGTAGACCCTAATTGAGAATTATTTTACCTTTAACCTCTCTCTTGTTTTTATTTTATTATTTTTATGAATTGTTAAATTCTCAATTAAATTTACTGGGGGTATGAATCCTTAAGAATCAAAAAGGTGCTGCACCACCTTTGAGGAGAGTCATGTGCAATTGTGTTATGTGTGAATGTGCAAAATTTTTGGGAGAGTGGGCAAACTGAAAAGCTTAAAATTAGTGATGGCTAGGTGAAGGGAAGGTTGAAGCTAATGTTTTTAGATCGGAGTGGTCATCGAATCGACAGGGAGACCAAGTAATGGTTCACTGGTTCAACTGTTGAGTCAACTAATTAGACCGGCATATAATAAAAAATAAAAAGTATTATAAGTGTTATAAAATATAATAATATAACTAAAAAATCATACCTCTACATACATATATGTAACAATATATACATCTGTATAACATCTATATAGTGTATATATACATCTGTATAGTGTATATATATATCATCTTTGCCTACTATGACCCACCTCCCAACCAACCTGCAAAAGCATATCTCAATTTTTTGCCTCCATCTCAAACAATCTCTCAAGAGACTACACTTCAACCACCACGGGTCAAAGGCCCAAAGCACAAATTGATGGGACCTAAGAAAATTAGAGAAAATCCTAGCGTAAATCCAAGAAATTACGCTTCAAGGAGAGGGCCGGGTTAAGCTGTTGTTAATTGCTGAAGTGGTCGCTTGTTTCTCGGTTTAGGTCTGCAATTGATTTAGCCTTTAGGGCAAAATGAAAAAGTCCCACAAAGAGAATTTTTTTTAAAATATATAAGAATTGAAATCCAACTATTCGGTTCACAGGTTTGGTTCAAAACCGCCAGATTTAGTGGTTCTTATCCGATTCAATTTCTTATATGATCTAACTAGATAACTGAACTAGTTTATATCCCAGTTCAATCAGCCAATTCGGTAAAGTTCTGACAATACTGTTTGAAGCTATTAAATGATGATAACAACCGAAAAGAATGTTATAGTACACATTGGCTGGTCTCCTATAAAGAGACTATTTATCAAAAGACTGAACACTTTAAAAACAAAATTTAGCGCAAAACAGAATTTAATCCAATATTAATTTATCAAAATTTAATTGCATTAAAATAAAATAATAAAACTTTACATTCGAAGTTGGATTATCAATCAAAAATACTATTTAATTAACAAACTTAGTTGCAGATAATTTTTATAAAATACTATAAAAAATAGTCAAATATAATGGAAAAAGAAGTTTTGAGTGACTACTATATATAATCTATGGGGACACCACAGTCCACCATATTATAGATAATTTCAAAATATAATTATTATTTTTAATATTAATTCGGTATTTTGATCATAATTTTTTACTCAGATATCCGATTAACCTAATCTTTGCAGCATTGGAGAGTACATTTTAAGGGGCTTCAAAATTTACTTCATGAATATTTCGTGAATCAATCTATAACTATGTCAAAATTGCACTGAAAGTTTTACAAAAAACTTACTCGCATTCGGACAGTTGGAAACATGCTTTTGGACGCATCAAGTAGAAAGACCAACGTAAAGTAGTGTGTCTGAACAAGAAGAGCAAATTGGCCAAGAATGAGTGTTTGACTCTGTTTATTATAAAAGCTCTTGTAACCCCTAATTATTCCAGCTTCAACCTCTCTCCCTAGTTTTTGTTTTATTTCTTTTATGGATTGCTAAATCCCCAATTAAAGTTAGGGGTAATTTTTTCAATACACCGCAGTATTTATTTTTAATCCAATGTTCTTTAATGGGTGATTTCTCTTATTAATTATTTCATATCTTTTAACCATTTCCATTGAATACTAATGATTCCTTACGAGTCAAACAACTAATTTTGCATATTTGAATTAATTAATTAGAATTTTCATAAAATATTTAATTTATTGTTTGTGATAAAAAGAGGTTTTATTTATTGGAGATCTTGATTCAATGTTTACTCTAGGCACAAGTGAATGCTTGTGATCTACAATTAAACACTAATTTATATCTAAATAATTTATCTATTTTATTTTTGGATCAGTTTTATAACTGTTAAATCTTCCAATTAAGATCAGTACTAAGCTAATTCTTTTTAATTGAGTTAAAAAATTGAATCATAAATAATTTCTGTGTGAAGTTGGAAGAGGATTCTTTTGTATTCTCAATTATTGTTATCAACCAAATAATGATTGTTCTTTCGAACAACCAATTTTTTTAAACAATCTTCAAAAGCAATTTTACTTTTTAAATTTTCTTTTTGATTCAAGTTATTCACCGATTCTATATGATTTGACTTCAAATTTTTGAAAATTATATTATTTCGCAACAACCTACACTTAAAAGATACATTATTAAAGTTATAACATATATCATTTGACAATGTTGATATGACATCACCTTTCCATTGAATATTTTCTCGTAGTTTGCACGTGTTGCTAAATCAATGAAATATTTTTGACTGATGGAATAAAATCAAAAAAAGACACTTTTATACTTATCATAGTAATAATAAAATAAAATAAAATGGGAAAGACAATTTTTTCCTATCCATAATAATAAAACAAAATTCTCACATGTTTTTGAAGATAAGAGTGCCACGTGACAAATAGATTTGAATCAAAACTTCAATTTATTTTAACCAACAATGTTGTCCAATTTACTAAAAGATAATGAACTGGAAAACTTTTAGGACGTATTTGACAAATAATATTAGCCTAGATAAAATAGTATTTTTTTTCATCTAAACCATTCCGATAGTGTGACGATGTAAAAAAACTTAGACTCAAAATTTTCTTCTCTAACTCTGACTCAAATCTTGATTCAAATTTAAATTTGAGTAAAAAAATATAAAAAACTTACTCCAACCTTGACTCAAACTTATACCAAATTAAGTAAGATTTAATTTTTTACTCAAATCAAGGGAGACTCAAACTTTTACTCAAATCTTTAATGGTGATATTTCACCCACTTTTAAAGATCCAATGATCATCTTTACTATCTTTTAAATTTAGGTTTGCTCTCGTTTAAATTTGAGTTTCTCCTTCTTTAAATTTGAGTTTTTTCATTAGAGCCCTTTGTATTAAATTAAGCTTTTCACTCAAATGTTAATTTAAATTTGAGTAAAAATTTAAGTCATGGTTAGAGATATTCTAAGAAAGATATTTTTTTGGATGGATAATCATTTTTTTTGATCTAGAAAAGTCCACCCGTTTATCTACGTTACCCATAAGTTAAAACTATCCATATCAAAAGGGTTTAAGTAAATTGTTCACAATTCCTACTTTTATACATCCTAGCAATAAAAAAATTTAGTTCATTAATTTTTTATTAAATTTATTTGCAATATAAAGTTGATGAGTAATAAAATTGAATTATTTTTTGTAAAGGTAAGTGAATAATTAAAATAACAATAAAATAGGCACTTAATCTTTTAACCTCAAAAATTGATAAATTTCAGCCAATAAATGATAAAAATACTGAAATACATGGTACATATAAAAATACCCAAAAAATGTTGGATTTAATTTATTTATTATTAGATTGATTGTTGGTCTCAATAAATGTTAGAATTTATCATCAATTCAAAAATTAAGAATAATTAAGTTAATATTATGGGAGATTTGAACAAGCTTTCAAAATATTAGCTCTATGAGCAATGAAAAATTAGATTCACGCGAAGTTGCAATAAAACAAAGAAACACTAATATAAAAAATCTTAACGTAAATATAGGAATTAATAAAGTA